CTGGCTTTTGACCAAACAGCTGGGCATACAGTGTACCTAACTAGCCTAGTCAGTCTCGCACATAATTGTAACCATATATCAGTTCCCCATTCACAACAGAGAAAACGGCTTTGTGTTACCCGATGTTAATATTTAGTATATTTCTTGGCTTCTTGAACTGTGACACTTCCTTAATGATCCTTTTTATAAATTCAAACAATTATATTACATATTATCAAAATCAAAGAATGTGAAAACAAGGGCTTAGAAACCACTTAATCTAGTGTTTCTCAAATTGTTTCCAGGTCTTGAACAATTCTGAGGCCCTGATGAACACTGTCTTCCCAAGAAAATGCTTATACACACACAGTTTTGCATATAACCTCAGCTGCTGGGTGTTGGGTAAAGCAAACCTAAAGATCTCAGATAAAAATCAAGATCTTATTTCACTGTTGAGTAGGAGTGGCCTGGAGAAACAAAGAGATGCCATGTTTCTCCCACTGTCTTTTTCCTCTGCCAGCACCTCCTACCCTATTCTTACCTGAGTGAAAGGAGTAAGTATATGGGCAACAGGGCACAGGGCTCAGAGACTTCTAAGGTCCTTTGTAAGCTGGTCAGTCATTGTTCTTTATTTTAATTTTTTACAAAGTTTATAGGTACATAGTAGGTATATATATTTTGGGGTTACATGAGATATTTTGATACAGGTATGATAATCACATCAGGGTAAATAGGGTATCCGTCATGCCAAGCATTTATCCTTTGTGTTGCAAACAATCCAATTATACTCTTTTATTTTTAAATGTACGACTAAATTGACTATATCAAAAATCAGTCAATGTTGGGGTGAATATGTTGAAAGGGGGACACTTAGACTGCTGATGGGAATGTAAATTAGTACAACCTCCATGAAAAACAGTGTGGAGATTCCTTAAAAGGACTAAAAGTAGATCTACCATTTGATCCAGCAATCCCACTACTAGGTATCTACCCAAAAGAAAATAAGTCATTATACAAAAAAATACACCGATTTTGTGAAGAGACGAAGACTGAGCGGTTGTGTCTGCGTTGCCGACCTCAAGCAGCAGTCGGCTTCTGCACATAGAACCCGGGAGTAGGAGACTCAGAATCGAATCTCTTCTCCCTCCTCTCTCCTGTCAGATTTTTTTGATCTTCAGCTACATTTTCGGCTTTGTGAGAAACCTTATCATCAAACACAATGGCCAGCAATGTTACCAACAAGACAGATCCTCGCTCCATGAACTCCCGTGTGTTCATTGGGAATCTAAACATTCTCGTGGTCAAGAAATCTGATGTGGAGGCAATCTTTTTGAAGTATGGCAAAATTGTGGGCTGCTCTGTTCATAAGGGCTTTGCCTTCGTTCAATATGTTAATGAGAGAAATGCCCGGGCTGCTGTAGCAGGAGAGGATGGCAGAATGATTGCTGGCCAGGTTTTAGATATTAACCTGGCTGCAGAGCCAAAAGTGAACCAAGGAAAAGCAGGTGTGAAACGATCTGCAGCGGAGATGTATGGGTCAGCAACAGAACACCCTTCTCCGTCCCCTCTACTCAGCTCCTCTTTTGACTTGGACTATGACTTTCAACGGGATTATTATGATAGAATGTACAGTTATCCAGCACGTGTACCTCCTCCTCCTCCTATTGCGCGGGCTGTAGTGCCCTCGAAACGTCAGCGTGTATCAGGAAACACCTCACGAAGGGGCAAAAGTGGCTTCAATTCTAAGAGTGGACAGCGGGGATCTTCCAAGTCTGGAAAGTTGAAAGGAGATGACCTTCAGGCCATTAAGAAGGAACTGACCCAGATAAAACAAAAAGTGGATTATCTCCTGGAAAACCTGGAAAAA